TCTAAGAACTTATTTCAAAATAGCAATAATTTGTATTCATATATAATGTAGAATAATTGAAATGTGACTGTATTTTACAAAATACTAGTCTACTAAAACACAACCAAGTCAAGTTACTCTCTACAGACCACAGCTCAGTTTTATGTTATTTGATACAGTAACATGAGTGCACATGAGCCACATCATTGTAACTTCTGTATTGTTAACCAGGCGTTACTGAAAAGTCAGTATAATAAATATAATAAGTATATATGAATGTATAATCTTATGAGATTTAAGCTATTTAGTCTAAACATTTATGTTTTTGTGTTATAATTTGTGTTCAAACTATTACATATAAGATCCTCGTAACAGCATTATGAAAAATACTAGTTTCCAATGAGTATTTTGTAGGTTTTTGAATATACAAGGAACATTGGGCCAGAATCAATTTGTTTTGCTGAAATATATTTAGTAATATATGTACATATATACTCATGGGTTATTCAGTATAGAAAATTATTCATAAAAAATCTGTAAATATATAGTACAGTAACATATTAAGATACTTTCTCACGTAACCATACAAACTGTCATGTGTGTTTTTAATGTCAGTCAATATATTTGCAATAAACATTTTACTTATATGAACTCAACAGATTTGCTGGGTACATGCAAAAAAAGTTAACCCTTTTGCAAAGAGTCCCTCTTTAACTCCTTTCTGTGCAAGTCACTGTATTTCAATGAAATTAACATTATAATGTGTGTTATAAGTTGAAGTTTTATGTTATTTTCCTTTATTTCAAAAGAAACCTTTAAAAAATACTTAAACTTCAGATTTGTTCTAATGTGATGCATGAGTGTTCACAAATCTGAACTTTCAGATTCTCTAACTTGGATCAGATAACAACACAATGTCTGTACATGCATGTTGTGAAGTTCAGTGGACACAAGAAATACATTTGCCAACATCTGATGGGTTCCACACTCACCTTCTGTACTTAGACTTGAGATTTACAAGCCACATTTACATGTTTATAACCTATAGAAAGAGCTCATTTTACACTATAGTCTCCTAATGGTTGTTTTAAAATTGGTACACAGTTTTCATTATCATGTACATGTAATTGCCAGTAGTAATTGCTGCTTTGTCCACAATAGCGCTTGCAGTTGTTTCTTACCTAAATATGTATTAGTTAGAGAGACAGTTAAATTGTATTTAGGTTTTATTTTTATATTTTAGTTAATTATGTATTATCTATTTCTTAAATGCATATTTGAAAGGTTTCAAAAAATTTTAATATAACTCAAACTTTGTCTCGGTTCTCGAGGCTTATGATAGTACACGAGTACAAGAACATTTTACCAAAAGCTTGTGTATATTTGTTAAAGATAGTTTAATATTCCCTGAGGGCACCATTGACTTGTTTCAATATGAATAATAAATAGTAAAGGACAGGAAAAGATTAAAACAGGAAAACATTAAAAATTAACTACACGGGAAAAGGTAAATACCTTAAATTATGAATGTAACCAAAAGATCTTTTAAGATTATTCTACAAAAACATTAAAAGGTATGTACATTTTTTGTTTATTATTATATATACAGTTAGTGATATGATATACAAAATGAAAGATATAATGCAAACATTTACCTTTTTATATTCATTTAGGAAGTTCTAGAGGTTATTCGAAAATTTTAAGATGAGAATAAAAGTATTTTTATACTGAAAATGAAAATCACTGCCTTCAAACTATTTAGAGTCTGAGTGCAAATAACTGCAATAGATAAATAACATATTTTTAGTAGAAATAATTAATTAAAATAATCTCATTCTTTGTATACAAAATATTTGTAATCTTTAACAAAGTCTTACCAGTTTTTGTGAAGATACATTAAGAAATCTGAGTTACGACATGTATTGATGAAACTTAGTTGAACGGATGGAAACTGGCTATTGTACAAACACAAGTGTAGAGAATGACATTTTGAAAGTCTTTCTTCCATTTAACTAAGTTTCATTATGAATACTCTGCCTAAATGATCTATCACAGAATACCATATGTATTATTATTATTATGTAGGTAAATGTGAATTTTTAATGAAGTGTTTTGAGTTATATACATGAATTAAGTTTTACTAATTACAGATGTGGTTAAACATCTTTCAGAAAGTGAGTGAAATAAGAAAGAAAATTGCTTTTATTTAAGAAAATATTTTGGCAGGGAAAACTGTTTTTGATTGGAAAATTTTGTGGGTTGCATCTGCCTCAGAAGTTGTTTGAGTATTATTCAATCTGTTGCTGGGTTGCATCTGCCTCAGAAGTTGTTTGAGTGTTATTCAATCTGTTGCTGGGTTGCATCTGCCTCAGAAGTTGTTTGAGTGTTATTCAATCTGTTGCTGTGTTGCATCTGCCTCAGAAGTTGTTTGAGTGTTATTCAATCTGTTGCTGGGTTGCATCTGCCTCAGAAGTTGTTTGAGTGTTATTCAATCTGTTGTTGGGTTGCATCTGCCTCAGAAGTTGTTTGAGTATTATTCCAAGCTGTTGCTGCAGAAGATCTATTCCAATACGTAAAAACATTGTCCAAAAACTTCTAAGGAAGATGCTGTTCACAGAAAACTCCAAGAGAAAAAATTGGTTTTTATTTAGTGTGTAATTATTGATTTTTGTAGATAAACTTCATATCTGCACTTGTATAATAGTGAAGTTAAACACTGGCAAAAATATGTAACTGATAATGTTATTTGTAGTTTGAGAGCTTAGCGATAGCTATAGAACTTAATTTAAAGAATACTGGAATATTTCTCTGTATTTTAGGTCACCTCAGTGGCCAATACCCTACACACTGTACAATAGCTGCATGTCCAACTTATCACAACACAACACCAGAAGAATGTGAGGTTAGTCACAATATTTTAGAGGTTAAAAGATTGCTAGAAATATTTGTAAGTAAGTATTAGAATTGTATTTAATTTTGTGCATGTTTAGCTCTAATGGTGTTGATTCTGTTATAACACTCCACTGTGATCATAAATTAGCCTAAAACTTTCATCAAAATAATTTGTTTCAATAAAGCAACTGGATAAATCATAAAAAAGATACTTGTGAAGTATTTACGAACATTAATGTTTTTTTTAATATTTCCAATTGAGAATTTCACTAATTCAAATTTTTAAGTTTCATTAGTTTTTTTTTTGTTAGTGTTGAACAAGCTTTAATACAATTAACTATAACAATGAAATAGTAAAACCCTTTTCACTAATTCAAAATTTTGTCAAGAGAAGCATTAACCCAAATTATCCAGCCTTCATATTCTGCTGCTTTTCTGTTCATTAACACCTGAATGCATTGTACTTTAACATTTGTCAAAGCAGGAACACTAGGTATTGCCATGAGTTTTAGTTAGTTTTGCCATAAAACAAAGGAGTTATCACTGTGTTGTGAAATTTTGCACAAGAGGTTAAATGGAGCATGTAATGAGCTTAAATAAATGTTAATATTCCACACACACATGTTTAATGATATGAATGTGAGAAATGAAAGCAGAAGATTAATCAACAAGATGTATGACTATCAAAATTGATTTTAGAATTCTTGTAATATGTTATAACATAGCTGAGTAAATTTTTTCAAACAAAAATAAACATCCAAAAGAAAGGTCTGCATAAACTTAACTACACCTACAGTTCTGAATAGATGGTGTGAATCAGAATGCATAATGATGAATTTAATAACTGATTTTAGCCATAGCAGAATACAATGACTGGATTATAATTATTTGGACTAGAGGGACATCAATGAAAACAGTTGGATGAAGCTTAAGTCGGTTTCTGTTCAAGCTTTTATTACTAAGAAAAGAGGCATTGCTGGCAAATACTGTGTATTAGAAAATATCACTCATCCTCAAGTAGTCAGTATTATCATATGGATTCTTTTCTTTAGAGCTTTTAATTTGACAAAATCACTGTTAGTGAAGTAGTTAGCACTGTCATGTGGAGTCTTTATTTTAGAACTTTTATTATGATATTATGATAGTAGTTAGTACTAGAACTAGGCAATTAGTGGTATTTGCTTATTCTATCATGGTAATTAATCTTTTTTTGCAAAAAAACAACAACATTTTTTCCTAAAAATGATTTTCTGAAAGGTTTTTTTCAAGACTTTGTAAATGAATCATTAATGCTGTCTAAATACCACCACTTAGTAGCCATTATGTTTGTTTTTAAAATATGTAGTAATCTTACACTGACCTTCTGTAAATCAGATAAATTGATTTCAAAATAATGAAAACATTATGATTGCAATTGGAAATAATTAAGTAACCAGTTAGCAAATTTGTTGATGTATATACTTGAAATGGATAAACATAAAAATAGTATACAATAAAGAGTTGAGTCATCAGAATATTTTATAATCTACTACCAGTGTCACTAAACTACTAAATTTGTCTAATTTGATGACAATTTTATTTTATTCGGTGAAGATGATAAAAAAAAACTCATGTTTATAATCTTTGCAACTCAATAAATTCATAGTATATCTATTAAAAAGTAAAAGCCACAATTTAAACAAAGATCCAAACATGAACAATAATATCTTTAGTAAGCGTGAAGTAGTCTCCAATAATGTGACTTTTGTTTCATACTGTATATATAATCCTGTGTCTTTTACCTAATGATGACGAAACCTTCTCTAAATGTTGTACATTTATTACTGTGTGAAACTTGTAATAAAATATTTTTGTTGTCCATTTAACCTGTCTCTAAACTTTATCAGCTTCGCTTATCGCAAGTTATATGATGTCTTTTCAAGGAAGATAATTTCTGTAATGTTCAAACGTATATAATTTAACATACAAATACTTTCACAATTCAAATATGAGAAGAAACTGAAAGAAATATTCCGATACGGTACATTACCTCTGCTCATAGATATAACTATTTTCGTTCAGTGCTGCCGTCTATATGTAAAAACCTTTTACATGACACAAACCTTGAGCTCCCACATACCCCACGATCAGTGTGGTTCAACTGCGACTCGCATGTAAATCATCATGCGACAACCCTCCACCAATAAGAGTGTGACACACACTCCTGACATGTGTGACTCCCTCTGTTTGATTCTACCGAACTATCACTTCTCGTTTGGCAGAGCTATTAAGACATTTTTTTGTTTGTACTCTTTTATACGAAGTGGAAATATTTTTCTTTTTTTTGTACTTTAACAATTTTAAGTGATAACTCTATTGTTCTTAACACTTATTTTGGTTTTCACTGAAGTTTATGTTTCCACTTTGAAAATGATATCATTTACTTCCGGTACAGTTACACAGGCTTCAGGCTGAGGAATTGTCAGTTTTAATTCATTGGTAGATTGATAATTATATGACTTGACCTTTGTTGGGCCTTGAGTTTGGGGTCCCACACATTTTAAATACTGTTTAGATTTTTGAATATTTTTTTATATTGATATTATCACTTGTAGTTATTTAGGTTCAATAACATAAGTTTAATTAGATTTGTAAATGCTTATTGTAACGATAGGGTTTTAAATTATAGCTTAGTTATATCCTTTGTATTAGAATGTTCGATTAGGCTTAACAAGTGTCTTTTGTTATTTTGGGCTTACCTGTTGTTCATCTTACTGATGAATCATAAATTAGTACATATATTGCTTTCTTCAACAAATACCATCTAGTAAATTTTTTATTGTCAATACATACTTATTTAATTTTACAATATAACAATTATTTCAATTTCTTATTTATTTTTATTTTATGCTTCTTACAATTAATTGAGTTTATGGAGACTCCTGAGGCTGGGGTCTGCCCAATTTTCTTATCCAAATTTTGCTTGCCTTCCTCCTAAAACTGCTGAACCCATTTAGGACAATGAACAATTTTCCTCCACCTGATTATGAATCGCTTTCCCAGGCCTCTATTGCAGAGTCTGCTAGGGATATCTTAGCCCCTTGTAGACACAGTTCACAGTTTTTTTTCTTCCCATCTTTCTCCAGACATTATGGTTTGGGCTGAGCCTTTTTGTCTCTCTTTTGAGAGAGGGTGCTTGCATGCCTTTCTCTCCATGGGCTTTGGTTCATTTGCCTTAGCTTACCATCAGGCAGTTTTTTTTTCTTGATTCTCTGCACTTAGAATTTCTGTTGCCTGTATGGAAGGCAGACCCTGATAATCCTAACCCTATATCTCTCACCAATTTTTACAGCCTTAGTTCACTATACCCCTCCTTTCTGAGACATTCCACCTATCTCTTGGGGATTTTCATGGGATACCTTCCCCCCTCCTTACCTCCACGTCTGGGAGATTGCTATCTTTGGCTCTTTCCCTACACATGTTGCTTTCTTGCTTTTGGGTGGGATACTGTCTTGTAACAAGTTCATTTACCATCCACTTCTAAATGGGACTTACGGACTTTTTCTCTGGAGTATCTGTGATGCTACAATCAATTTTTTCTTTTTGGTTGCTCGTATGTCTCATTCTGAACCTTTGCAACCTTTATTCATGTTCCATGTCCAGCACCTTCCTGTCATTTACCTGTCCTCCTCTAAAGGTTTCTCCATTAGTCACGTATTCTTGATGCCGAATGGAGTTCTGGGATTCATCTGTCCTGCCTCAACCACTTCTTGGTTCCTTCCCACTTTACTATGTTGTCTTTTATCATACTATGGTGGGCAATTTCTCCAGGACTCAGGATGCCAAGGTAGACGTTTTGTATTCTTATACCCGCGTTCCTATTTTTTATCCCTCATGATGCTATCTTAGGTTTGTTCACTGCAGGGTTGGGTACCAGTTTTGCACCTTGTCTTTCAAGCTTTTTTCGGATCTGGAAGTCTTTTGTCGGGTGGTCAGAGTTTTACCAGACTTTGTTATCATGGGGGATTGTACTTAATCACAAATTGGTTATCTATCTTCTGTTAGCTCAATCCGAACTGGAGTTGTCACAACTTACTCATCTGCTTCTTACACACACAGCTCGGGTGGTTGGATTTTCCAGTTGGAGAAGTTTTTCCCGTTCTCTACCTAACAATTCTGTCTTTTGGGGTGTCTTTTTAAACATCCAACTCTGTTAGGCTCATCCTTCTCCTCTTTGACTGCATTTGATAGAGCTTTCAGTTACCCACACCATTACTGTTAACTATCTTACTGCTAGTGAGGTTCTATCACATTCAGGGATGTTGCTTCTATGGAAGAGCTTATTCCCTTGGGTCTGGCACATATGCAATCTCTTCAGGGGATGCTGTATGACCCATGGAATCTTGGTAGGGTTCTTTTGGCTTCTAGTAACTTCAACGATATGTGTTGGTGGTTGAACAAAATCCCCACATTGTTGGGTTTACTGCTTCATCCCACAAGGTTGGGTGTGTGGGTCATTCAGCATGAGGCTTCGGAACAATGGTATACCATGTTAACACTCTGGAACTTCAGGCAGTCCAGTGTGCTTTGGTTTACTTTCTTTCTCCTGTCAGGATCCATTCCGACAATTTGATGGTGGTGGCTTATATCACTCACCAAGGAGGCACTAGTTTGAGTTCCCTTTGTGGTCGACCTTGGAGCTCAATTTATGGACCCACACACTTGACATACGTCTCCTGACGTGTCATGTTCCAGGTGCTTTCAATCTCATTGCAGATCGCCTTTCCAGCCCCAACACGCTTTATTCCACAGAGTTGTCTTTCAATCTTCAATAATTTCTGGTGGCTCTGCCTTCAGTGGGGTATTCCTCAGTGGGATGCGTTTTCCTCTTTCCTTGATCCCAAGTTACCTCTTTTTTTGGTCTCCGGTTCTTCATCCACTTACCCTGGCTGTCAGTGTATTCAGACAGGATTGGGACTAGTTTATACCTTTATTTTTCTCATCCCGTCTGTCATTTTTCCCTGGTGATTT